CTCTTTATTGACACCACAGTTCTTTACATACAAAGGATTTAAGTGCACCTACATGGAAAAGAAGCTAAAGCATGTTGAGTTTTTAAACAAACCTTTATCTACTTGAGTTTCCAGTGACTCCTCTACATCGTAACTTCCTGCATTTTCATATATTTACTAAAGATCTTCTGGAAATATGACGAAATCTGCTCGGTTAAAAATATACATGCAGCAAAACTAGTATTTGGTTAAACATCCTTTGGCCATTTTCACATCAGCTAGGTGCTTTTATTAGCCCTCCACACGCTTCTGGTTCTATCTTTGACCTCGACAGAATTAGAGTGGTTAAACTAAATTTGTTGGCTTTCTGACAGAGACTTGTTTCTTCATCACAGTCCACAGGTTCTTGATGGGGTTTAAGCCTTTGGGCAGGCTAGTTTAAGCTCTATTCTGGCCTAATTTAGCCAGTTGTCATCTCTGAAGAAGACGAGCGTTGTCGCAGAAACTGTCAGGTAATAAAAAACCACACTCTACATGTCTGAATAGAGAACCTGAACATTAGATTATCACTAAGAAGACATGATGAACGTTTTCGAGCCATTCCTTTACTGTTTTTGATGCGTGTTTGGGGTCATCGTCTTACTGAAACACCCAATTATATCCTTCTGCCTGTTGAGTTTAGGTTTTCCTTAAGAATGTGGAGGTAATCATTCCTTTTCATTATCCAAAGCATAATACTGCCACCGCCATGCTTGACGGTAGCTTTGGTGTTCTTGAGGTTAAAGGTCTCACCTTCTCTTGTCCAAACATATTTCTGGACATTGTGGCCAAAAAGCTCAATTTCCTGTTTCATCTGACCACAGAACTTTCCTCCAGAAGGCCTCTTCTTTGTTCATGCGATCAGCAGCAAACTTCATGTCAAATCTAAAGATGCTGCCTCTAGAGGAAAAGCTTCGTTCTTACGTGGAAACCTCTCAGCTCATGACGATGTAAAGCACGCTTGAATGTGCAGCTTCTGATTCATTTCAGACCTGCTCTTTGGTGATTCTTGGTTGACTCTTGACCATCCATCCATCCATCCATCCATCCATCCATCCATCATCTATACACCGCTTAATCCTCACGAGGGTCACGGGGAGACTGGAGTCTATCCCAGCCGACTTAGGGTGAAGGCAGGGGACACCCTGGACANTTAGACTGAGACAACACTGATCTGAAATGCAGTCAAGGGACCATCTTTAGCTTTAGGGCTGCAACTAACTTATTATTATTATTTCCACTGTTGATTAATCTGCCAGTTATTTTCACAATTAATCGATTATTGTTTTGCGTTTCCCCGAGCCTAAGATGAAAAGTTTTGTTTTGTCCCAGAGATAATTCGTTAACTGTCATAGAGGAGGAAAGAAACGAGAAAACATTCATATTTAGGAATTTGTGAATCACTCAAATCTATTTCAACCTATTTATTGTTTTGGCTCCATGAGACTGAAACTGCATTTTATGGAGTCAAGAAAATTACAATCAATTTGAAAGTTTTTGTAAAGATGAAACAGGGAAAGTAGCTGCTGCCATTTGATCGATGATTTCTGGATGTTGATGAAGGACTCTGACTTTTTAAGCCGTCCAGGCTCATTGCGCAACACTCAGTTTACCCATTTACTGCCAGTGTAGGGCTTATCCTTAATTACACGCACACTGTGGGATTCCCAATTAAGCTGAATCAGGATGCAGGGTTTGGTTAAAGGGAACGTCTGCTGCCTAGACAGACCACCGAGGACGAACAGAGACAAGCTGGAACATGAACCGGTCCTGTGACGGCTGCAGGGTCCAGACGCCTCGTCCCATTGTGTGTGTTCATCTGTTGGTCCAGCACACACCAACACTGACAGAGCTGCTGACTATATTCTCTGTATTGACACCACAGTTCTCTACATACAAAGGATTTAAGTGCACCTACATGGAAAAGAAGCTAAAGCATGTTGAGTTTTTAAACAAACCTTCATCTACTTGAGTTTCCACTGACTCCTCTACATTTTAACTTCCTGCTTTTTGGTTCTTTCATATATTTACTAAAGATCTTCTGGAAATATGACGAAATCTGCTCGGCTAAAAATATACATACAGCAAAACTAATAGTTGGTTAAACATCCTTTGGCCGTTTTCACATCAGCTAGGTGCTTTCATTAGCCCTCCACAAGCTTCTGGTTCTATCTTTGACCTTCCTCTCGACAGAATGGTGGTTGAACTAAATTTGTTGGCTTTCTGACAGAGACTTGTTTCTTCATCACAGTCCACAGGTTCTTGATGGGGTTTAAGCCTTCGGGCAGGCCAGTTTAAGCTCTTTATTCTGGCCTAATTTAGCCATTCTTTTACTGTTTTTGATGTGTGTTTGGGGTCATCGTCTTGCTGAAACACCCAACTGCATCCAAGACATAACCTTCTGGGTGTTGATTTTAGGTTTTCCTTAAGAATGTGGAGGTAATCCTTCTTTTTTCATTATCCAGCGCATAATACTGCCACCGCCATGCTTGACAGTAGGTTTGGTGTTCTTGAGGTTAAAGGCCTCACCTTCTCTTGTCCAAACATTTTTCTGGACATTGTGGCAAAAAAAGCTCAATTTCCTGTTTCATCTGACCACAGAACTTTCCTCCAGAAGACCTCTTCTTTGTCCATGTGATCAGCAGCAAACTTCAGTCAAACCAAAAGATGCTGCCTCTAGAGGAAAAGCTTCGTTCTTACGTGGCAACCTCTCAGCTCATGACGGTATAAAACATGCTTGAATGTGACACCAGAGTTCCAGCAGCTTCTGACTCATTTCAACCTGCTCTCTGGTGATTCCTGGTTGACTCTTGACCATCCTGACCAATTATCTCTCAGCAGCAGGTGACAGCTTGTGCTTGCTTCCTGATTGTGGCAGTGGCACAATTGTACCATGCACTTTATACTTACAAACAACTGTCAGATGGTTTGGGATTGTTTATGGCTGAGTCTTATGAGTATCAAATGGGCTCTATTTAAACTGGCTTAGAGGAGTCAGCAGCTGTAGTCCATCCTAATCACTCACAAGAAGTTGCGAGTCCATGCCACGGAGGAAATTTGATTAACACAACTTTTAACATCACCAAAACTGACAATTTAAGTATGCATAATTTTAACCCAGCAGATTTGGTCATTTCTCCAGAACACCACAGCACATTTTTTGTGCATTAAGGTTCTATTTGGAGAACAATATCTCAGGAATTAGATATCAACCTAATTCTTTAAACATTCAAGAAACACATGCACCGCCCGAGAATCGAACTCGGGTCACAAGAATGGGAATCTTGCATGATACCACTACACCAGCGGCGCTGTGGAAACACAACCTCATTAAACACAAAGTCTGAAATCTTCTCCGGTAGTGTCGTAGCTGTATCCCCTGCATCACCTTAAAATCCAAGTCTGTGTTCACATTATTGTAATTCAAAACATAATCTGCAGTTTTAAACAACAGATGATGAATATGAAGTGGAAAACACAATGTCAGAGGCCATAAATGAACTCATGTTTTAATTGTGTTGGATGTTGCTGACCAGTGGAAAAACAAGCCACTGCTTTAAGTCAGACTCAGTTCTGGTCTCAAGATGAAGCTTTTAATGACTCCCAGCCTTCTGTGTTTCCAGCAGCCTCTTGTTTTTTCCTCCATAATGAGCCAATCACTGATTCAGATCCGTGCCATCCTTGAGAACTTGATAACAAGGTCAGTGATGCGGCAAAGCCGGGGAGAGACGAGACACGACACGACCTTCGCTTGACTCCACAAAGTTATATCTCTACTGAGGTCTTTAGCGAGAACAGAGAAGCTGCAGATTTCCAGTCAACTTTTAACGATGGCTGATTTTCCTGTCGACCTCCTGAGTTTGAGGATCGTTGTTTCTTGCATAGGACTTGTGGGTAACGTATTTCTCATCATGTCCATCCTTCAGACCAGATTCTCCCGAGTTAAATCCTTCGAGCTGTTCCTCCTGGGACTGGCTGCAGCAAACTTGGAGGAAATCATCATCATAAACATCTACGACGTCACCATCCTCAGCATGTCCTCCCCTTTGGTTGGTACGTGGTCGTGCCGCTTGCTGAGGTTCCTGACGGTGTTGGGTGAAATCAGCAGCATCCTCTTCACCGTCCTCATCAGCGTCTTCCGCTACCAGAAGCTGAGAGACGCCGACAGGAGGGTGAACCTGCCGATCTACCTGGACAGCATCCGCTCGGCCTGGATCATGAGCGGGGTTTGCGTGATGCTCTCCGTGCTGCTCGGCCTCCCCACGGTCGTCATGGACCTGCAAGGCTCGGTGGGGAACAACGTCAGCGGGAACAGCAGCGGTTGTCCTCCAGACTTCTTCCAGTGCAGTAAAACTTCCTGCCCCCTCCTCAACCGCTTGTACAAATACGTGTTCACCCTGGTGTGCTACATGCTGCCCCTGATCATCGTCACGGCGACCGGCTCCCTCATCCTCGCGGTGCTGCTGAAGCGAAGGAAGATGGTGACTCCGACGGTTAGCGTGAGCTGGTCCAACCAGCTCAGCACGAAAATTAAAAACCCAAAGCTCCAGCGAAGCACCGTCGCCGTTCTGGCCGCCATGGTGCTGTTCCAGGTGGACTGGACCATCTACCTGATCTTCCTGTGGATGTTTAGCTCAGGCGACTCTCGGCTTTGGGCTGAGATTGAATTCTTTATCTCGACTTCCTACACATCCATGTCTCCGTATGTGTACGGGGTAGGAAACAACCTGTTCTCCCTCAAAAACTGTAAAAGCAAGTGATTTTTGTGCAGTGAAATGTGCTTAAGTAGAAGCAAATTGCATTTCTAGTTGTCAAATGAAGATGCTTTTTATGATTACATGCTAGAAACTGACAATTATGTGATGCTGCTTGAGACTTTACTAATCAGTCTTTCGTTGATAAACAGATCGCAGCATTGTGTTGTCAATTTAAACCCTTATTTTTGTCTAATACAAAAATGAATACACTGCTTTGGTACGGTTTTATCTTTCCAATCAAAGGGCTTTTAATATTTTCAGTCCCATTTTTTCTATGTATTGATACTTTTTCAATCAGGTTTCGAACTTGAATGCCAACAGCACAGAAGGATTGTCATTCTTTGGACTAACTTTTCGCTGCTTTTCCAAACAGGGAGGAGAGCGTGTGGTGGAGTTTAACCTAAACTGAAAGTCACAAACTGACTCATTCTCTCGGTGAGATTCTGCACATGGCAGCTGTATTTGTGTACGATCACGACAGCGTTGTGCACAGACCGGCACGGCCTTTATTTACAGCACAAGGAGCTGAGGAAAGCAGAAGTTCCCTCCACTCTCAGGAGCAGGAGACGGTTTGAGTCGACCCGTTTCAAGTTTGAACACATGTACTGATTGCCTTTTGGTATGAGTAACGCTTGGTTTGGCTTTGTGAGTGAAAGTAAAAGCGAAAGTTGGCAGAGAAAGGTCACATATTAGTCATCGTAGCTCTTTTGATCTGGCCGGGACCAATTTTGTCAGGTTTATTTAACACTGATTGCCTTTTTGTGCTTTGCTTTTAAAATGTACACGTGTATTTTAAAGACCATCCCCCATGAAAATCTAGTTGGTTTTTTTTACCTTAATTGGGACTACGTAGATCTATGCATCCAGAGATACAGCGAAGCCATTTTTAGCACAGGAAGGAACAACTTTTATTGAAAAAACTTCTAAATATGTACATTTGACACACTGGGATGAGCTTTTAGGGGTTTATTTGATGACCAAGGAGCTGATAGACGATTAAATGAGAGTTTAAATTGTTTGCTGTAAGATATCTATACGTGTATTAACGGATACTAATTGTATAAAATGTGTAACATGTTTTCAACAGTATACTTAACAATAAACTTTAAAACAGCCTGTTCAGCTCCTGTATTGCCACAGTATACAACCATAAGTGTCGTCAAGAACCTAAGGCTGATTCTTCATATTTGCTTTCTGCCACAAATGTGCTTTTTATTTCAATAATTTACTTAATGTGTGCACTAGTTGACCAAATAAGTTCAACACATCGTCTATCAGTAAAGTGAAGATATTGCTTGTTAAACCATAAACTTTATCTGAAACCACAATAATCATTAAGCACTATCAATTATACCTAAAATCCCACTGAGACACCAGATCTATTATGTAGGTTATTCAATCTGATTAGTCACATGTGCACTAGCTACAGGACATTAAGTATCACAGAAGACTTCGTCATGGCACCCCTTCACTAGACAAACCCCCAAAATGCTCTCTGCTCGCCAACAAGGAAGTACCCGCCTCCTCTGGCTGCTTTCATAATAAACAGCAAGACGCTCCACCTGGTGGCACAGCCAGGTACTACAGCTAATCAACACTTGAAATATGTATTATCGAGGAAAATGGTATGAGCAGACACTATGGCTGTGTCTGAAATCATCCACTCTCTCCCTGCTCACTATACAGGGACCACTATGTAGTGAGCTATGTAGGGAACACCTCGGCAAAGTAACATTTCGGACACTATTCGAGCGATTAATTACGTCGCTCGATAGCTGCGATTTGTGCCGTAGCAGCGTACTACAGACACATCAAATTCACAGTTTATTGCATGACTAAGAAACGGCTAAGAATAAAATTGAACAAAACATAAACTGGAGATTACTTACATTTTAATGACAAATTTTCGTGCTCTCGTTCGTCTAGTTTGCGTTTCCTTTCGCGCAATGAATGATGGTCCATATTGCTCAGTTAGTGACCATCGGCTGTACACTACTTTTGCATTGTGGGATATTTTGAGTGCACTATATAGGGTGTAACAGTTGTAACGTAACACTTGGACAGCACTACAAACACCCTATATATATATACAGGGGATAGTGGGTGATTTCGGACACAGCCCAAGTCATGGCGCCCCTTCACTAGCTAAACCCCCACAATGCTCTCTGCTCGCCAACAAGGAAGTACCCGCCTCCTCTGGCTGCCTTCATAATAAACAGCAAGACGCTCCACCTGGTGGCGCAACCAGGTACCGCAGTTAATCAGCACTTTAAATATGTATTATTGAGGAAAATGGTATCAACAGACACTAAACATTTGGAACAGGAGAGAAGAAACATGATCAGGACATCCCCAACATCCCCCACGTTCATCCATCAGCTCTACTTATCCTTCAGAGGGTCACAAGGTCAACACAAACAGACAGATGAACACAAAAGCTAATGCTTGCACCTACAACTAATTAGAATCACCGACAAACCCTCCATGCATGTCTTTAGACTGTGGGAGCACCTGGAGTAAAAACCCATTCAGGCACAGCGAGCATGCAAACGCCATGCAAACAGGGTTTAAACCTGATCGGCAGGTTTGGATGAAGAACCACGGCTTCCCCATCCTGCTCCTACACGCCATATAAAATGTGTTAATGCAGAGTCCTGAGTGTCTCTGACAAACTGGCTGTGATATGAAGACATGGTTGTTGTGTTTGTCTGTCTTAATGTTAGTTTGAACCTTTATTCTGACAAAATATGGATCAACAGGCCAATTCTAAAGCATCTGAACAGTGGTTTTAAAATGGTGACTATAAACTAAATATTAAACCGGTTTGAGGTGATTTCAAACTGGGTTCAGGACTCACAAAGGCCACACAAACTCAGTGTCATTATTCATTCAGTTCATACAGTTTGATAGCTGTTGGTGCACGTTTAATTCTTTTTTTGGAAGTTAAAAAAAGACCTACACATACATAGCAGATGCATGTAGAGATTTTAAAAAGCTTCTCAAATCTCAGTACGGTGTCACAAAATCAAACTGTCAAGCTTAAAAAGTGGGAAAAACTTTGCAAAATGTGGAAAAGAAGTTAGATTTTTAGACTTTAACCAAATGATTGATGTTTGAAGATACGAGTTACTTCAGCTAAAGTACAAATACCATGAAGTAAAAGTACTCTGTTACACGTAAGAGATGTTACTTAAGTAAAAGTATGTAAGCATTACTGCAAAAATGTACCAACTTTTACAAAATGTCAATTTAATGACTGATTAATCAATAAATCCATTCTGCTGTGATTATATAAACTGTAAGATGGTTTCATTTATCACAAAATCTAACGTTTTTTAAGCCATTTGTACATTTTGCATGCAAAAAATCTTAATTTGTAAACAAAATAAAGCTGCCACACAAATGTAGTCGAGTAAAAAGTACAACGTGCCCGCTGATTTCACAAAACATGGGATGTTAAAAATAGATTTAGAGACTAATGTGAACAAAAACAGTTAAATAAAACAAACTATGAGAGGGATAGTTATGATAATAAAAGGCAACTATAAAACAATACACACAAATATTACACTAAATAGGTTGATTGTAGTAAAATATTACAATTTAAATAAAATAAATGTGATAATAATGTACAATTTATGCCTTAAATTACAGGACTTGAGTAAATTTGCTGCAAGTTTGTGAAGTTTTTGCAGCTTCTTCACCAAACTTGTACCTCTGGGTTCATTTTTTCTGCTTGATCATCCAATAAAACTAATATTTAAGGTGCACAGTGTTTGTATTTCATGCATGACATCGCTGTGAGCTCCTATTGTTTCAGGCTAACGTGAAAAAGCAGAAGTATCTGAGGGGCACATTCTGCACTCAGGTGTTGCTTTGTGCTCCATGTCTGCGTCTTGTCTGGGTGTGAAGCTCAATGTGAAAAAAAAAACTCTCCCACGTTGCGAAATCCACGCAGATTCTGCTTCTGTTTTGACAAAGCCGAATGTGTGCGTAGGTTGGAAGCTTTAACCGAACTGTTGTTTATCTGCAGAAACCGTCTGCGGCGCATCAACACGGGATTTCCACGTGGAGCAGAAAACACGAAGCTCCCACTTCCTCGTCCTGCCGAGACTCCGCCCTGAGCAGCAGCAGCAGCAGCAGCAGCTCTGTCGGTTATTGGAAAGCCTGCTTGTTTTTCACCTGCATGCACCGAAACGAACCACACGCTCTGGTTTTGGCTGAACCTTCATCATAAAGACAATTTTGTAGTTATTCTTGTTAAAACTGTTTCGTTGGAAAAGAAGCTGTGATGATGATGATGATTCACCACATTTAGATTATTTATCATTTCTTTTCTTGAATATTCTCACTCCAGCGTGATTATTTGTAACTTTAACTCCACTATAATTGAGTTATTTCACTTTACAAAGCAGACGTTGGTCACATTCACACATTAAAGCCTGTTTGGAGACTCCAGGTGTGTTTATTCTGAAGCCAGCAGGAGCTTTTCTGCACCATTTTTCTCATATTTTACAACAGTTTTTTGAAAATGCATCGATCATAAGAAGAATATTCAAGTCCAGAGCCTTTTCTGAACACAACAAGTTTTCATTAAAAGTGAAAACATGGTTCATTACGCAAACAGCCGTTTACATTCACATATATTTTTGCACCATTGAGCAACATTTAGACTAATTGTTCATGTTTTCTGTTTGGATGAAGCCTATACAACATTGCTCCTGTGCTATAAAACTGACTTTTATTTGCGTACATATTTGTTGTTGTTGCGTTCAGCTGCAGCGCCATTTTAACCCAGAAACACAATCGAGCTTTCGCGGCGTCTTTTACGCACAGCGTCGCCAAAACGAACCAAACTACAGATAAATGGGGAAGCAGTGCGGTGGGTTGTAGAGATGTTACAAATTATGTTTTTTTAAAGGTTTTATATTAGCATTTTTATTCGATTTTTTCTTCAGGCCTGAGGCTCCATGATGGAACCACCGTCCGGTTAAGTGTCGTCCTCGGGGGGAGTTTGCGCACATTGGCCTGCTGCTGGAGCTGGTGCCGCCATGGTGAACGTGTTACGTCACGTGAGTGTGTGTGTATGTGTGTGTGTGTGTGTGTGAGGGTGAGAAAAAGGTGGAAGAAGTGAGGGAAACACGCGCAGAAAGTGTCGCTCCACGCAACATCGGAGCGCAAACTTGCACACGGTTGGTCTCCAACCTGCGTAAAAAAAGAAAAACAAAAAGGTTGGAAAAGGAGGAAGAGGAGGATGAAACCGTGCGGGATGAAGCTCGTACCGGACTCCCGCTTCCCTCGCCGCCCGGGAATCACGCGCCATTGAGGAGGGGAGGAGAGGGGGGGGCAGGAGGAGGAGGAGGGGTGGAGGTGTCGTGCATGCGCTCTGGCTGCGCAGCGTGCACTCTCCGGGTCGGAGCTCCGTGGCGTGGCTCCGCGCTCGGCCTCCATTTGCCACTTCGCGTTTGTGCTCGAAGGGATCCTGCGAGGCCGCGTCCAGCCGCGACGAGCGACGCCGCGCAACAGTTTGCGGAGTTTCTGCGAAATATTCTCTTCTAGCGGAGGAAGCGCGTCCGTGTGCCGCCTCCGGAGCCACGAGGTTCCCCGAAGACCGAAAAGGTGAGGCTCGTTTGTGAAACCTGCAACTTTTCCAAGTTGGTCGAGGCGGCGGAGCGGAGCGGGGCGGCCTGGCTGCTGCTGCTGCTGCTGCTGCTGCTCTCCGCCGTGCGTGAAGGAAGAAAGAGCCGCCGTCTGGCAACTCAAACCCACCGCTTTGTTTTGGAGGGAAACGGGTCCGCGGATGGAATAAGTGGGGTTTCGGTGTAAACGCGCCGCTTTGGTTCGCTTTTATTCGCTCTTCGGGGCCGATTAACACCTTTGGGGCTGCAGCATCTTTGTGCTGGTGTGAGTGAGAGCAGCGGCGGGGGGCAGCACGACAACAACACCGGCTTCCTCTGGAGAGCTGCTCGCTCTCTGTCGTCTTTCATTCGAGCGTCCAGAAGCAGAAAGCTGCGGGTCGTTTTTTTTTTCTTTTTATTCCCGTTCGGTCAGATCGGGCCTGTTTGTGTCCCATCAGGCGGCCGCTTGGTCAGACACGGAGAAGTTGTCAGGAAGGCAAAGTCCACTTTTCTCAAACCGGCAGCAGAAATGATTAAGCTCAGCTCCAAAACGCTCAGACAGCAGCTCTTAGGTTCTGTTTTACACTCGTATGTGGTGTTTCTACATGTGGAGGAGTCTCTGCAGCATCACTAGAATCTGCAATATCAGTATTTTCAGTTTTAGTATTTTCTACTTATGCCAGGTTTGGGCAGCTTCAGTGTTTTTCCATCTATAGAATAATTCTGCAACATCTAGTTTTTCTATATTTAGAAGAATCTACACCATACGACCAATACTTTTTCTTTATTTTAATTTTATTTTACTGATATTTCCAACATTTTTGCACCTTTCCTGCCCCATTTCTCCACCGTGGGATTAATATAAGCTTGTTTTACGTGATATAAAGGTGTTTTTAAGGGGTGCCAGTCCAATTTTATCACGTGTTTTACAACAAATTGACCATTTAAATTCTAATTTATTTATATTTAATGTTACAACTGCCTTCATTATTCCATAACTGTTAAACAAGTCACCGGATATTTTGATAATTGAGTCATTTAAAAGAAAAAAACAGTCTAAATTCTCTGATTCCAGCTTCCTAAATGTGAATATTTTCTAATTTCTTAATATTTGGGTTCCAGACAAAACCAGACATTTGTCATCTTGATCTTTAGGAAACGCTGATCAACATTTTGAACCTTTTTCTGATGTTTCAGAGACCAACCAGCTCGTCAGCTGACCAAGAAAGTAAATGTCAGATTAATAACTTGCAGCCAGACTGGAGGAATGGGGACTAGTTGTTGTTGTTTTTGCGCTTTTTGAGTTGAAAAATTAATTGAAATATTACATCCAAGTGTTAAATGTGACTCATTGGAGCTGTTGAAGGACAAATGTGTCACAACAAACCATCATAAACGTGGCCTATAAATAATATCCTCCCTGCATAAGATACATACTTGTTTGGTAAAGACTGCAGCAAAAATAACCAGATTTTTATATTAGTTTAAATAGAAATGGAACAATTCCCACAAAAATTATGACTTATACCACAATAACTGTCAAAATAAGTAAATATTAACAAGATTTTACAAAGAAAATAATCACTTCCTGCCTTAAAATGCCTCAAATGTAACCTGCTTCATGTAGATCTTAAAAGTCTCTATTCATCCCTCCTCATTCGCTGCAGTTCAGCACACCAGCTCACCTCCAACTCTGCTCAAACCCTAACACTACTCCATGCAAAACAATACAAACTCATACGTTTATGTGTGTCATCATGTCTGACGTCTTTATTGAATTTACGTGTTGCGTGTTTTCCTCGTGTTGTAAACGAAGTCGGCGTCAGCTCACCAGAGGACCTCTCGTATCCCAGGGTCGTAAATAAATTATACTTTATCCATTAGCAGCTAATTTATTTTTCAGGAGGCCAAAGTTTCTCTGCAGCCGTCTGGTTATTCCTGGACACAAAGAGCTGATTCGGATTCTGTGAAGTTTGGTGTTCACGCAGCCGGCAAACCGGTCGGCGCTTTGTTTTGTCTGCGCTCACGTCTTCCTTTGATTTGGCAGAAATTGTGATTCTACCTTAGAAATTGTGTTATCAAGAGTGAAATACGACCTAAACGAAGCTGCAGCACATCGATTCCCAGGGTTCCCGGGTTTCAAACGTAACCAAGAACCATCCTGTCAGCTGTGCAGGACTTTCTGTATCATTGTTCTTCTCCATTTTCTGGTTCCAACATGTTTGGCTGAATTACAGCGTTGTAGGTGAGCTGGTGTGCTCGAGCTGCTTGTAGATCCACACATTCCAAAGACAGCAACAGTGTAGAGTTAGATTTTTAATGGAGAAAAAGTCTAAATGTGTAACTTTAATACACAGAGATGATGTTTTTAGACGTGTTCCAGATGTTTTCCTCACTCGTGTTTGTTAAACTTGTGGACAAAATAATGGAAACAACCAACTTTTAAACAAACATAAAGACGAATTATCAGCTTTTTTTTTTTAACAATGTCCACAAAACCTAGAGCTGTTGTTTATTAACATCTATTATGTCTTTTATAACGCCACAGATAATATTGATTATTTATATATTTGGATATTAAACTTTAAAAAAAGTGGACAAAACACCAGATTTACTGTGTCTGTGCTGGAGGTCAGACGCCTCACAGAAGACTTTGTCGTGGTGCCTCTTTATTAACTAAACCCCCACGATGCTTATTTATATAGCAGCAAGTTTCAAGATGCTACAGAAAGCATTTATTAAATTGTGCAAGTAGAAAAAAAAATGAAACAACAAAATCAAATGACCACAATGCAAAAGAAGAAAAAAGATATTTGACTGATTCGGTAGCATAAATGTAAATAAAACCCACAAGATTGAATACAAATGAGCCACGTTTTACGAGTTAAAAGAAGACGCAGGAGGTTTTATTTGTCACATGCTCATGCTGTGCAGTTAAATGCAACTGTTCCTCAAGGCTGTGCAATATAATAAGACACAAAAAGATCATTCTGTAATAACGGCAGACAACGAGAAAACAAAAAGAGTGTCATGAAAAGTAAAGGAGGTCGAGATTCTGATGCTAAAAGGAAGGAATTAGCTCGATGCTGCAACTAGCTGTGGGTTCATTCATTAGTCAGACAGTGGAGCTTCTGTAAAAAACCACAAACTGATCAAATGTGCATGAAAGCGTTCAGTATTTTTGCACCAGTTTCGGAGTGAAGCTACACATTCTTGGTGTGTTTACATTTCTCAGTGCGTCTTGTTTCCTCTCTGCCAGTGTTTGTTCCGCTCCGATGAGCTCTAATTGCTGCTTGTGTCCTGTTTTCTGTCTCATCTAATCCTGAATCTGTACGATGCATGTAGCTGCTCTAATCTTCAGTTGTTTCCTCGTCGTCAGGTGTCCGATGCCGACCGTCGCTGATGTCGGACTCTGAACTCGCCTCCATGGAGGTCAGCCGAGCGGCGGATCAGACGGGGAGTTTCCTCTCGGCTGCTTCGGTCCCGTCTCCGGATCCTCCTTTTCCGACCGCTTCTACGCCTACCTTCAGTGGCGATGCAGATGTTGAGAGTAAAGCCGTCTCCGTGGCGAGCAACGACTGCGGCCCGGCTCGGTCCTCCCCTGCTGAAGCCAGTCCGGCCAAACCCGCCGCCACCTCCACCTCCACCCTAGAAACCAGTCCAGCTACCTCACACATGGCCTCGGCGTCCGACTCGCTCACCTGCTCGGGGACGAGTCTCGCGTCCGAGTCGTGGGTTTCCTCGGTGCCGTCCACCACGTTCGGCACGGCGGACCTGGAGAACGACTTGCCCCCCGTGCTCACCTTCAAGGGCGTCAGCGTCACGTTGGAGAACAACAGCGTGTGGAAGCAGTTCTACGGCTGCGGAACCGAGATGATCCTCACCAAACCGGGCCGCCGCATGTTCCCCTACTGCCGCTACCGCCTGGCTGGGCTCGACCCGGACCAGCAGTACAGTCTGGTCCTGTCTATAGTCCCATCCGGTCAGTTCAGGTACCGTTGGAGCGCCACTAAATGGGAGGTCCACGGCCCGGCAGAACACCAGGGTCAGGGTCTGATCCGGGCGTTCCCCCACCACTACTCACCGTGCCGAGGTTCTGAGTGGATGAACGGTTTGGTGTCTTTCTACAAACTCAAACTGACCAACAACGCCCAGGACCAGGACGGTCACATCATCCTGCACTCCATGCACCGCTACATCCCCCGGCTGCACGTGATCCCGGTGCTGGACGGAGCCAAGCCCACGGCGGAGCAGCCGGTGGTGATGGGACCAGAGAGCATGACCTTCACGTTCCCGCAGACCGAGTTCATGGCGGTGACGACCTACCAGAACTTTCGCATCACGCAGCTGAAGATTAATCACAACCCGTTCGCGAAGGGCTTCAGGGAGGACGGACACAACCCTCGTCTGCAGCGGGTCAGCGCCGAGGCCCAACCGGCGGTGAAGACGGAACCTCAGGCGCCGGTTTTAAAACCTGCTGCCGAACCCAGCGAGGACAAACAGGACGCCGTGGATCTGAGGTACGATGGGTTCGATTTCACGTTTTTTCTTCTGGCCGATATTCGTCTTAAATATAAATAAATGTTTTGTGAGACGGTTTTTCTGATCGAGTTCTGTCCAGAGAAGATTGTCAGAACACAAGCAGCGCGTTGTTTTCATTTCATTTCAAAGTGTTCACCCAGAACGCCCTCATATCCGTCAGCACCGAACCAGACCTGCTTTATTGGATCCAAATCAGGCGCTGTAGCAGAAGACCAAACAGCAGCTTCACAAATCAGACATTTACACATATTATGGAGGAACATGTTTCCATTTTGCTTTAAATGTCAAGAAAAGCTGTGAAATGGCTTCAAATCTCAGAGTCTTTCACCTTCTCTGACAGGTTTCAGAATCTCCTTGATGCGGTGACATTACACAGAAGGCTTCAGTGCAAACTCAAAAACTATGTGGGACAGTTTGAAATATGTTTTCTCTTTCCTAATTATCAATTGAAAAATATGCTTATTAAGTGGGGCTGCAAGGTGGCGCAGTGGTTAGCACCGTTGCCTCGCAGCTAGAAAGTCGCCGTTGAGGACACCCTGTGTGGAGTCTCCATGTTCTCCCCGTGCAGCGTGGGTTCTCTCTGGGTTCTCCGGCTTCCTCCCACACAGTCCAGAAACATGTTGAGGTTAATTGATGATTCTAAATTGTCCGTAGGTGTGAATGTGAGTGTGCTTGGTTGTCTGTCTCTAAGTGTGGCCCTGTGATAGACTGGTGACCACAGTGAGGATGAAGCGGTGTGTATAGATGATGGATGGATGTTTATTATGTGTGTATATGTGTGTTGTGTTCTTGTATCGAACTGTTGATCTTAAAATCGTTGCCCGTCAGTTACTAAATGCACAGAAATGATGCATTTGTACATTTACGTTTCTGCTCAGTTGCTACTGCAGTGATGATAATATGATTAAACATTCCAGATAATCATTGAAGATGTAGCTATAGGTACAAATAATGGACTAAATAACAGGAACAGCTCACATATCAGACGTGATGCTGTTCAGTAGAGAGGCCCTTAATAGGAACAAAGAGTAAAACATTTGCAAAACTTCTGATTTATTTGAGCCTAAAACCTTTCAGTCGCCACTAAAACTAAGAATTATGTTAACTAGTAAGTAACCAAAGAAAAGTCTCCACATTCACACCCTGGAACTATGTGGGATAGTTTCACTTTTCACTGATGTTTTGTAATTAACAATTGAAAAAAAATATCTCCATTATGCAGGTATATTTGTTGTGTTTTTGTATTGTGGTCTGCAGTAATAACCAAACAAAAACATACTGGTACTAAGAGAAAAAAGAAGATTTTTGTGCAACCTTAATCTCCTAATCTAAGTTAACTGATCATAATAAAAGCTTCTGGGTGATTTAAGGCACATATATATATATATATAAATGATGGATAAAGAATCAGTAACAACTAACATATAATGCAGTCTGGTGACGTGACCCATGATAAGAACTGATCAGAATATTTGTTGAAGCTCCGCCCAGCCTCGGGGTACCTGAACGTGAAAGGCCATCCTTCAGCGGCCTCAAGCAGCCGCACAAAAGCGTTTTTTAACAGGGGAGTTAATTGTTTATTTACAGTAAATGTGCTGTAACAGAAGTTGTGGTGAACACAAACAAATCAAAGGTAGTATATGAATTAAATGAAGAGTGAGCTCTGCCAAAACATCAAACAAAACCACACTGTGCTGTGGGAGTCCTGACTTATCAACCAAAATAAAAGGAGCAAAATTAAATAAATACATAAAACGTCCTATTTGTTTAAGCGTAAACATTTCACAGTTAAAACTAAGGATTGTGTGAACTAGTGCTGAAGACAACCAGAGAAAAGAATCGGCTCTTTAACCAGCTGGGGGTTGAAATGGTGTCAGTCTTTGTCCATTTAGAAAAACATGTTGCTCCATCTTTTTCATATTTTGCTCAGAATTTACTGATTTTGTTATTTGGGATCCAAAACTCGAGTTCTGTAAAATATTTTTGGCTGAATTTCGAGGCTTTTACATGTTTTCAGACCTGTGAATTTCTCTATTTTCACCCTGGGAAGCCTGTTTTAAAGGTTCAATATCTGCAGAAATAAAACTCCCACAGCTGTGAGATTTGGTGAAGACGCAGATTGAATAGTTAACAGCTGATCTAAATGACTGAATGGCTCCAGCAGAAGCTAAATTTTCAATTATTGGCCCTTAGAAATGAGGGGAAAAGTGTAGAATCGTCAAACGAGTGTGGCATTGGCGACCCATAAAGTTTATATGTTGATGTTTTAGCTTCTTGCCTCTCTGGTCGACATTTAACCAACTTTTGACGCCTCCAACATCAGAAGAATCTAATGTGTGGCAGGACAAGTACATAGTGGTGACGTGGACTCATTCACAGGACACATAGTGGTCTGTAAATGTTGTTGATGCTGTTTTATTATTGTGTTCAGCCCCTGTTATTACATATATTGTTCAATGGTAAGTGCATCGATGTGGGAAATTGGTTGTATTTTGTGAATTAAGCTGCTGGAATTAGCTTCGTAGAGTCTCACTGCAACAAGCTGCACCATCGCAAATTAATGTGCTTTTTAATGAGCCCATCATTAAGTCATTTTATGTGTTTAGTCTCGATAAACAATATTGGTTTTTATGTTTCCAGCAGCACAAAGAGCCACAGCGTCCCTGCCTCGCCGTCGCCGGTGCCGGAGACCAGACTGGTGCTGAAGCCCATCATGTCCAACCCTGCTGGTCCAGACGACCTGTACGTCCCCTGCATACGAGGCCCGCACTCGCTCGGCGAGCTCGTCCTCGTCCAGAAGAGCGACGAGCCCAAAGAGGAGCCCGTCGCCGTCAGCGTGACCCCCGAGCAGCAGCCAGGCTCAAAAACATGGACGCTGCCCAAAGCGAGGCGCTTGACTCCGGCTTTCTCGACGTCCACCCCGAGTTCCACGCCCAGGTACCGCAAGAAGAGGAAGAGGATCAACAGACGCTGGGCGAACTCCCGGGGAAGAGATTGGAAGGCAGCGGCTGCCTCCCCCACAGTAGCCCACAGCCCGTCATCGACAGTCGCTATGCAACCGGAGCTGGATGATGTAGAAGGCCTGCTGTTTGTGTCGTTTACCTCCAAGGTAAGATGCAGCAAAGAATTCTCATTTTATCAGAAGTGTGGCGCCGCAGTCGTCACGTCCAGTCGACTATGAGCGCGTTAATTTTTCCGCTGAAGCTCCTCGCCGTCCTGTAAAGTGTTTAAATGTGTTTTTTCTGTAACAGGAAGCGCTTGAGGGTCACGTCAGGGACAAGTCGGCCTCATCGCCGGCATCTCCAGTTTCCTTAACAACGCCGCCGGAGACGAAGCGGACGAGTGAGAAACGTAAAGATCTATATTTATTTGAATCCTCTAAAGGTTATTTCATCTCACATGATCCTTCTGCTGCAATTTGCTTGAAGTTTTTCGATCCTAAACTATGGATTTTTAAAGTGGTTTGTGTTAAATTTTAGCCTCACGTATCAAATACTTTTTGAGGTAATTATTTATTTTTTTAAAGAAAAATTGCACGTCGACCCATTTTCAGCCCATTTTTTCCACACATTAAAATTTGAAGAACAATATCTCAGGAACTACTAAAGATAAAAGTCTGAAATTTTTGCTGTTAGTTCTCATAATGTCACTGATTCAAAATCTACAATACTGGACAAGTAGTTCAAACAGTCTGTGATAATGGGTGAGTTGAAATATGAAACTAAATTAAAGCCGTCATGAAAAGTCACATCTTTCATAAATGATTGAGCAGCTTTGACAAGTTGCACCACAAAAATAATAATATCAGTAATAAACGGTGGATACTGAAAATGGCATCTGGATATTAATGAAGATGTTTGTGAAATTTTAGATCGATGTGTCGGGTACTTCCTGAGATAAAATGTTTTTAAGAAATTGAATGTCGACTCATTTGAAGCAGCTTTTTTCACACGTTGAAATTTGAGTCTATGTTTGAACAATATCTCAAGAACTATTAAACATAAAAGCTGTTATTTCTCATCATGTCATTGACTGATTTGCTGATTCATGTTAAAGGTATTCTATATGTTTTGTATTGTTGTGACATGCAGCTACAGATGGTTTAGAAAATATCGCTAGCTGAATTCGGTATTATCAATTTGTTTGCGAATGTGAGTTCCTAGATAGATTGATTTTTTGTCCTATTTTAACTCGGCTATAATCAAACAATATTTGGTCAACTTGTCTGATATTGCAGATTCTTAATCAGTGACTTGATGAGAAACAACAGTGAAAATTTCAGACGTATATCTTTAATAGTTTCTGAGATATTGTCGTTCAAACAGCCTCAAATTTAAAGATGTAAAGAATGTGCTGAAGGTGGGTCGACGGGCAAATGTTAAAAAATTATTTCTGGAAGTATTTGATATATCAAGCTAAAATTTCACAGATATCTTTATACATATCCGTGCTTTATACTACAAAAAATTCAGACAAATCGGACACAGTTGAGCAAGAACTGGTCTAAAATTGTGATTCGTGATGGAATGAAAAATTTAAAAAACAAACAAATTTAAAATTTAAAAAACAAACAAAAAACCCAATACTTTTGCTCTTATTTAAGAGTTTAATTTCAGTTTAATTTTCTCAATAGCTCCATTTTATTTTGCATTAATTAAACGTCGTGTAAATTCCACTTCTGTGGTCTTTTAGTGGAGGTGACTCCAGAGACCGATCAGGAGAAAATCGCTCGACTCGAGGCCGTCCTGCTGAACGACCTCCGGGTTCTCAAACACCGGCAGGTCATCCATCCTGTGCTGCAGGAGGGTCAGTTCACACGTAAACGCCTCTGCATTTAACCAGGTTACACCCCATTAAAACAACGTGAATGCATCCTGTTTGACTCCTCCTCTTCCATTCCCCAGTTGGCCTCAAGTTGAGCTCCCTCGACCCCTCCAAGCCCATCGACCTGCAGTATCTGGGGGTCCGCCTGCCGCCGCCGCCGCCGCCGCCTCCAAATCCACCAGAACAAAACAGCGCAGCGGCTCCGTCTCCCGGCGGTGAGTCGAACCGATCTCTGGCGTTTTGTGCATGTTCGATTCTCAGGCCGCTTAACTGGGCTTTTGTGGACACGGAGATGTGTCATTTTCAGCTCAGCTCTGCGCAACATGCTGCCTGTTGTGGATAATTTGCTGCCGCAGCTTTGTTGTCATAGTAAGACAACAAACAGATGTAGAGATTAAGGGGAAGCACTTGTTATTTGAATTTTACTTGTTTCAAAGCAGCGGTAGGCACAAATATGGAACAAAAAGCAATAAATAAAAATGCCAGAATTTTAAAGTGCTGCTCTTTTTCCTGAAATCCTCCAAACAGACGAGCAGAACATATGCTTCAAAAAAAACAAGTCAGACCAGACGTGAACACTCACTTGTGGCTTCACATGAAATTTCTCTGTTTAAATCTTGTTCTGCTCCTACCTGAGACTTAGTCGCTTGTCATGCTGTCTTATGTGATCTGGGTGAAGGCCTAAGATTTGCCAAAGACTCCTATCATGAGTTATGTTCTCTAAAGCCTGAAGACGGAGCCAGGAGGAGGTGCAGAAGTCCAGTTCCCTCTCATACCACTTGTATTACACTACGCTGAAAGGCATCATGACTTGGAATAAAGTGAGGGAGAGTTGCGCAAATCGTCAGCCTCACTCTCTCGTCCCGACCCATCTGGATCCAGTGGCAAGATGTGGTCAAGACAACTAGAGATGGGTTAGGATGCAGTGGATGGCAAACAGTGTGTCACTGTGTCCTGGTCGTACTCCACGACGCTTGTTGGGTCCGGCTTCCTGCACGTTGAACCAGTCTGGTGGTTTCCTCCACGCAGGTCCAGTCTTCTCTTATTTGCTAGATGGCCGTCGTTGCCCCACCTGAGCCGACGCCCTTTAATCTTGTTTTTGTTTCCATCAGGGTGTCTAACCACCCACCTCACCAGCCCCAGAGGGGGACTGGTGCCAGTTTAGTCACCGGCGACTCGACCCTGAAGCAGGTAGTGCTGGATTACAGGTTACCAGTAGCGGATCTAACAACCTGACCTGACCACACTGTGCTAAAAGGCAGTTTAGTTCTTTAGAAAGAACAGCCCTGCTTGGTTCTTTCAATGAATTCTCCTTTATTTTGACAGTACTGCAAATGTTCCATCAAAACAATTCCCCGATCACGACAATCGCAGGGACACCACCGCTGCATCCCGGGCTTAACACCGGCCAACACGTTCGCGATTGGTTTAAAGCAAGGATGCAAACTTTAAATAAGTTCCTGTAGATGTTATAATAAGATGATCAACCATTAAACCACAATAATTTTGTCTTAGTGCACTGGAGCTCGTCAACAAAACAGGAGCTCTGAACGTTGGGCATTAAGCATCACAGACGACTTACTCATGGTGGTTCATTACTGGTTAAACTCCCACAATGCTCTCTGCTTGCTAACAAGGAACTGCCAGTGGCTTCTTGGGTCAGTACAGTGTTACACAGCACCTGGTGGTGCAGCCAGGTACTGCAGCTAACCGGTGACTCATCTTTCTGCCATATTGGTTCATGTATTTTCAAATAGTTAAATAACCAATAACTTCCTTAGCTTAAAGGAATACGAACAAACCGAATGATAATGAGGTGCAGTCAGACCTGCAGCCTCCAGTACTGACGACGCCATGGAGATAGATCTGGCCGTACGAGTAAATGTTCACAGAAACAAAATACATTAAACCTTCTGTGGGCTTCAACAGTCTCAACAGTTTTCACCTGATTGCAAATGAGGCATGAGGGTCGTTTTGTCCTGTAACTGTTCCTTGTGTTCAGAGACGGATGTTAAAAATCAGCTGTGATCAAAGCCAGAGCGACGGTGAATCTGTGTAATTGCACCACGCGTTTCCTTAATGACGGCTGCGGTGTTTTTTTTTTTCTCAGTGGAATTATCCCCCTCGCTCTAAATTTAGACGGCACATTTGCAGGTAGTCTCCTGTATTTGGTGCGATAAATTACCGACGGCAGCGTAATAATCGCCTGCTTCCTGGACGTCTCGTGTAGTTTGTCAGCCGTGTCACATTAAAGCCTCGCATGACGTTGAAATGGAAGAAACAAGCCCGAAAAGAGATGAGAATATGGTCTAGGAATAGCTCCAGAATGGTTTTCTCGCGTTTTATATTCATGTGTCAGGATGTCTGGCTGTGTTATGGTAGTTTATCACGTCCATCGATGGGAGTCCTCCTGATTCACAGTGTTTTCTTTGATCGCTGTGGAGTGCAAACGCTTGATCCACAGGTTTTATTACATGTTGGGCATCTGAAGTCTGTGTTAGCAGAGGCATGGCTTTTTGTCTTTTGCCTTTTTTTGTTTTGTTTGTATCCCAGCTGGGCCTCACCTGTGTGACAAAGAGGCCGCCAGGTGGAGAACAATTAACGGCAGCTTCTTCCAGTCGTGAGGCATCGATTTTACATTCCCTCAGTGACTTACTTCCTGCAGCCTAGATGAAGTTATTCACACAGCATTGAAATATGTCAGTTTGTCCTGCCTCGTTTGAAGACCATTCTTCCCTCCCGTTACTTATCTGCATCACCATGTAGTAACACATTTGCATAACGCCTGGCTAACGGCTAGTTTTGGTCCTCGAACAAAAGAACGAGCAGCTGCCTTATTTCCTCACTGGAGGTGCATCCCTAAGCTCTGGTCTGGGTTTACGAATCAACATGGCCTCGATTCTGGTGGCAGACTGGGTGTGTCAGGAGAGGAGTCTGAAAGAGAAAAGAGCCGGTGTTTCAGAGAGACAGGGTTAAAAGAGGTGCTGTATTAGGGAAATGGTGTTTTCGCACATTAAAAGATAAGAACGTTTTCTAGTCGACCTCAAAATACAATTAAAAACCGTGTAAATGTGCAGAATGCGTTCGCTCTAAATGAACGTAATTTTCTTTTCACCACAGAGAATGAAATGGAAATCAGATTCCGTCATTGTGGAGCCTCTTGAATGTTTTTGTGCCGCTCTGTTTTACCCAAGGCCTGACGCCGTGTGTTTCCTTCACAGATGAGGGATTAACCTTCATCTCCCGAACAGGAAAGACGAGCGACGTGACGAAAATAAAGGGATGGAAGAACAAGTTCACGAGAAGCAAAGAGACGTCTCCCCCTCACAGCGAAGGTGAGGTTTTCTGCTCGTCTGGTTGCAGCTGCAGCTTCCCCTTTTTATCGCGCAATGAGATTAGCAGAGTCGCTCTAATCACCAGAAGATTAACTGAACTGAAACCAGCTGAATGCACTCGCGCCTGATTCATTATTCTTCCTCGATAAATTAAAGTCTCTTTATTCTTTCGCTCCAACAGGATTACAAAAGAACCTGTCCGCCTTCTGCAGCAACATGTTGGACGAGTACTTGGAAAGCGAAGCTCAGCAGATCAGCGAGCGAGCCGCCGCCTTCTCCACCGACCCGGAGGGCTCGGTGGCCTATCAGCTGCCGGCGAAGAGCTCCAGCTACGTGAAGACCCTGGACAGCGTCCTCAAGCAGCGACACGCCGCCTCCAGACCCCCGGCGAAGGCCAATAGGCCTTGTCCTCTTTCCCACAAGCCCCTCCTGTACTCTGCGCTGACTTCGCCTCCTCCTCCGCTGGCGAGTCCTGAAAACCCCAAAGAAGCAGAACCTCAGTCCAAACCTCAAAGTCCTTCATCAAACACGCAACCAGCTGCTGCTTCTGGGTTCGTCTGCACTGCTGATGTCCCACAGAGGTACGGAGGCATTTGGCTTTTTGTCATCTTTGAAGATTCTCAACATTTAATCACATTTGTTTAAGGAGTTTTGGTGCAACTTTTGGCTATATAAGTAACTAATCAGTTAATTGTTTGGTGTACAGCGCCAGAAATTGTGACGTATCCTGTCAAATAAACATTCCAAGTTGTTCATGTACTACGTCGTTATAAACCTGCCATTGGTCGCTCCGGTCTGCTGGCTTCTCCTCTACTTCCACTATCTGCGTTCTTTCAAAATAAAATAAACAACAATCTCTGGGCAGCAACCGAACACTGAAAATCTCAAGTTTTGCATCATATTTGGATTGTGCAGTACACTAGCACGGCTACTTTTTTCGGAGGACTATCCATTTGAATGAAAGTTCTCGGCTCCCTGCATGCAAAACAATTCCCCCGTCGCTATTTTGAAGGAACAGCGAAGTCGCATCCTTTGCTTAGCTCCTCCTAAGGCGACTGATTGGTTTAAAGAAATGTATACATGCTGTAGCGTTTTTTTTTTTTTGTTTGTTTGTTTTTTCCTGTAACAGAATTTTACTGACGAGCAGCCACACCAATATATAAACCCGCCTGGCTAAGCAAGATTACACGTCTTTTATTTAAATGATTATTTTAGCGTAACTCCTGTTATTGTTTGAGATTTCCCCCTTTAAAAAAAAACGCCCCCAAATTTCACCCGCCTTAAGCAAAAAACAATCAACCTCAGGCTCCGTGGATAAAACAATTTAAAAATTGTGGCTCACACCTGATTACAGTGAGGAGGTCTGAGTACGTCAGTTCACACCTTCCATTCAGATGCATCTCCTCAGACGTCCTAAGTGACGACTTGTAAACACCCGCTATCTGTGATTGAGTTGGAGGTTGTGTTGAGCCATTTAACACAAAGAAAGCCCGGCTGTGCAGGACTTGCTGCCTCCAGTGTGAGTTCTCTCGTGTGATTTTTTTAATTCAATCATAGTTTTATAGTAACACAGCTGCCCCAAATGCAGCACCGGTGGAGCCGTTTGGACGTGGTTGATGCTTAAAATCCGCAACTACATAAATTAAATTGCACACCTTTAATCGTTTCTTCTTGCTCCTGCAGATCGCCCGTTCACCTCTCGAGTGCCTTTCAGAGACCGGCGTTGGGCTTCGGTCTGAGCCACGGTGTGAACCTCAAGGCTTCGGGCCTCACCAAGTTCCAGGTCAGGCTGCTGCAGATGGAGATGAGAGCGATGAGGGAGGGCGCGAGGCGAACCCAGCTGACTGCAGACAGGCTGTCCATGGCCCTGTCGGTAATACTGACCAAACAGGTATGCGGCGTGTCGTGCAGGTGAACTCCAGCGAGCAGGGCGGGGGTGCAGGAGTGTCCTTTAACGCTCATGTTCTGCTTTTTTTCATGCTTCAGTGCTGACTTGAACTGCGAAAACAACCTTTGTTTTTATAATATAATCCATAGAAGATACAGAAAACTAGGGGATGACCGATTCATGAGGCCCATTTGTAGCATTTTTAGATTATTGGTATCATTATTCTTATTGGCAGATTATTGCAAACGCACTACTTTGGCTTTGTGGTCTCAAGAAATGTCCCGCCCACAACTCTATCTGATTGGCTACATGTCACAAGTAACAGCCAATCACTGAAAGCTATTGTTTACACAGAGAGACAAAAAGGTGCATATGCGGATTTGAGAATTACCTACAAGTGATTAATTTATAGGTTATTTCAGCGGTGCAGCTGGAAGTTATTTGCCAAAGGTGCTATGCTACAGCTTTCGCTGAGAGGTTTGCTTTGCCTCTTAGCCTGCAGCGGCTAACGATCTGGAACACAGTAGCATCTTTCTAAAACCAGATTAACTTTGATAACGTGTTGTACCTGACAGACATGTCACTCTAGCAGAAACACAACCTGCAAGAACAGAACAAGAAGCCCAAATCGAATCAGAAGCTACTTGCACAGTGGCTACGCTAACGACTAGCAGCTAAGTTAGGAGGCTGCGACAGATTGGTCTGAAATTGTGATTGGAAAACAACAAGTAATAATACTTTAAATGATTTAAATGCTTTAAACATGATAGAACAGAGAAAGATGAACAAAACAGAGAAGAACAACTGATGTAAATGCAGGAAACAAGCTGTTATTGATCCCAATCAATCGATCAATCCGTAAACAGGAGAACATTGTAGCATCACGTGATGCTTAGCTGTCATCACTCCCATTTCTGTTGTACATTTCAGTTATGGTAATCATTATTAATAAAGTATTCTAGTTATGAATGACTGGTTCCCTGCTATCACACAGTTATTATACAATATTTAATGTATATATGTATTTTTCCGTAGCATTAATCTTTATTAATGCAGTAACCTCGGTAGGATGCTGTTGATAAATCAGTTAAAATCTATATCAGTTCCAGATATCAGTTATCGCCGTTGTTCCATTACCAATAATTGACGCCGGCCCTCACAAAACCACATTGATCGATCTCTACAGAGAACAATACTTGGCTGATAGACACACAAACTGTCATGTTACGTGTAGAACACACACATTTGTATTTCAAGTTGCTGATTCTCGTCATGTTCTTTCCTTTTTATCAGATGACGACCGGTCAGATCTCAAAAACCGTCCCTTTTCCAAAGACGAAACCTGCGGTGCCTGCGTGTGGTCGGGCGTTCTGCAGGCTGGGCTGCGTTTGTTCCAGTCTGCAGCATGCGAGCAGAGGCCCGCTGCACTGCAGACGGCCTGAATGCATGTTTGGCTGCGCCTGCTTCAAACGCAAGATCACCAAGCAGCAGACGGCGGCAGCAGATGAGAGCGAACCACAGACCAGCCCTGTTTACTGTAAGATCAAGGAGCATCAGTGTGACTGCTGTACCTCTGCACAGATGGTTTAATAACACAACATTCCCTCAATTGCAGCATGTTTTACCTGGATTGCGTAATCTAACGCTGCAGTCACACACATAAGAGATAGAAAACCCTTCCTTTTTTTTTTTTTAATTTCCTGTTTTGTTTTATGGCCTTTTCCTGCTCAGTTTGGTTTAAACTCTCAGCAAGTTCGAGGCGTTAACGAGACGCTTTCACTTCCTCCCCAGCTCTGACTAATATGGAACATGCGGTCCAGCCTCTCCCGGGTTCCCATGTCAATAAACTGTGGAACCGCAACGTTCACGACGAGGATCCGGAGCCGCTTTGCACTCCTAAAAGTTCTCCCGTCTGTGTGGTCCCACCGAAGGTCCCCAGACGCTGCATCCCACCTCGTCCAGTACTGCCGGTAAAATAAAACTCTCTAGTTGGGCTTAATTGGAAGTTTTTATAGATTGTAAAAGTGTTGGATTCAGGTTGAGTTTGCATTTAGAGGTGTACAGGTATTCATGTTAAAATAAAAAACTGATCTGATGGTAATAATAGACGTATATTAACATTATATATATACATATATATATTAATTTAAATTTATGCAATTCTTCAAAAATGAGACAAAACACACGATAAGCAACATTTAGGATGAATTTGACTCAAAGCATAATTTTTTTCCCCCCTTAAATTGAATTGAATTGAATTTTCCATTAATTGGCTGATCATTTATTGAACGTCAGAAAATATTAGTTTACCTTCAAATGTCTTGTTTTAGATTCAAACTGATCAACTTTATTGTCAGTGCAAATACCAAGACAGTAAAATGCAGTTTAGCCTCTAAGCAGAAGTTACGCTACAGTCCATGAACATACTGATATATGGACATATAGCAGCAGATACAGTATGAAAGAGGTCTAAGTGTACATGTAGAGATATATTTGTACAAGTTTTGTTCAATAGACCAAAAAAAGAGGCTTTATTCTAAGACAAAAAAAACCCAAAATGGTTCTAATTTTTAGTGTTTTACTCACTTTTTCTTTGACATTACTTAAATGAAAAAGCAATTTATTTATTAGTATTTGATAGTAAGTTAGAAAGCTTTCCTTTTTAATGAATATAATACCATTTGTCACTGTTTTTTAACCTCAAATCAAACAAATGTGATGGATGCAGATTCGCGAGGAGGACAAGGATCCGGTGTATAAATACCTGGAGAGCATGATGACGTGCGCACGTGTCCGAGCGTTCGACAGCAAACCTCCTCCTGAAGTCACCATGGAGCTGAAGATCCCTGATGAGGAGGCTGTTGGAGCCGAAGCTGCACCAGGCGCTGCAACCAAACCGCAGAATCACACCGACCACCTGCAGAACAGCGCCGTACCGACTGTTAGAAAAGCAGGTAAAAACATAAAAGTGATAAATATAACTGAGCTGTAGATGTTCCTGCTTGCACTTTCCTAAATGCTTTGGTTTTGTGTTAAATATACTTGTTTCTGTACAGCAGAAAAACCATCTCAGGAAACTACAGCCGGTGAATCTGAAGCCAAGAAGCAGATCCAGATCCAGTCGGCGTGTCAGTGGAAGAAGGACCGAACGATGGTGCTGGAGGCGCTGTGTGAACGCATGAATCAGAACCGGCTCTCTCAGCGGTTCTACGTGGGACCGTACTGCATCAGTCCAGTCACCAAGATCTTCATGAGGAAGCCCAGCGGCTCCCTCGTCACCTACAGGGTGGGTCTCACGGGTTCTGTGCTCCTGTCGCACCTTTTTCTCTCTCGGGCTCATTTTTCGCTGCGATATAAAGTTCTGCATCTCTGTGGAAGCAGAACAAACGTGGCTAGAAATAGAGAGAACTCAGCAAGACACAGTTAGGATGCCATAAATCAATTAAATTTAAAAAAAAAAAAAGGACAAAAGCTACATTTTATAGACTATTTATTTTGCAAAATTCAAAAAAACTGCGATCAACATGTGCAACACTTTACCAAGTTCCAAGGTGTCACCAAAAAATTAAACACTACTACGCTCTATATAAAGATGTGTCCCCCTGTTGAGTGTATCCTCCAACAACTTGCTTTTCTCCAAACTGCTTTTGATCCATCCTGCATTTATTTTATTGATCAACTATGTATTATTTTCATCCTTATCCTCGCTCCTCTCTGCTCTGGGTAAACACTGCCTGCAGTTCAGCTGAAAAGCTAGCTTGTTTTTTGCAGAATCTGGTGCAAACGTTTAATGTTTGCTCAGTTTTTAAATTAAAAAAAGGTAGAATGAAGTGATTTTGATGAAGTATTGCAATTTTAAGCTTGTTTTTGATTAGCTTTCCAGATGGTGCGTTCACAGACTGTCAGAAAGTTAAAAAT